GCGTCACCAGGAAAAGAAGAGGAAGTTCTTGGAAAGCACAGAATCCTTTAACAACGAGCTTAAAAGGGTACAACTCGCTTTTCTCCACTTACTCTGAGCAATGTGCTAGTTACCCGTTTGTACAAGTGCTCTACCTGCTTCTGTTCAGTTCTGTATTCAGTTACATTTAGCTCCTTGGCTGCTGCCCTAGTGGGGGGTGTTAGAAAGAGCAGTGTTTGCATTTCATGCTCCTTCAGTGACCTTTAGTGGTGACACTCAGCCAGTACAGTTTTCAAAGTGCCTTCAGACTGGCTGAGTTCACTAGAGAGCAGCACTGGGAAGGTGGCCTGAAGCCACTGAGAACATCCTGCTCTGTCCTTGGCTGCGCTCAGATAACAAGGTTTAGATTGTTTCTTTATCCCTTTTTTTTTTGTGTGTGTGTTAATATGCCTCCATCTCCCTCCCTAGTTACTGAAGGTTTTAATGTAAACTTTGTCAAATCAAAAGAATTACACTGCATGTAGAAATATTGAACTCAAAATTGGGGTTTACTGATGTTTTGTTTTTCAGTGTAACTGGGGTAGTAAAAGCTTTTGTGTCTGTTTTTTTTTTGTAATTGCTAGTTATGCAGTCTGAAGGTGGAAGTGGACATGGAAAAAATTGCAGCTGAAATTGCGCAAGCTGAGGAACAGGCTCGCAAGAGGCAGGGGGGAAGGGGAAAATGGAAAAAGCCGAACGCAGTCAGAATAACGTAGCGGCTGAGGAGGAACAGGCAGCTACCAAGACAGAGGAGAAGAAAGAGGAGGAGAGTGCTCCAATGGAGACAGGTAACTGCATTTGAAGATCAGCTTCAGAAGCCTCGAAGGACCAGCATTAAAGTCTCTCTGTAGAGGCTCAGCTGAGCCAGGAGTGCCCTGTGTTTCTGCTGTTGGTGGGAAGAAAGGCTTCCAAGGAACAACATCCAGAATAGTTAACTTCGTCTTGGTGAACACAGGTGTTTGCTTTCTCCTCATGAAATTGCCCTTTTTAAAGAGGGGAGAGGATAAGATACCAGAAAGCTCTATGTAATGCTTTGTGCTTAATGTAAGGGGAAAAAGAAAGGTTTTCTAAACCTAACTCACCTTCTGGACCTTGGTTAGGTATGAGCAGCTGAGAGTGCTCCCTTGTCCTAGCGTCAGTGTCTGGCAAGGACGATAGAACTGCCCCTCTTCTGTGCTGCACTTACAAGCTGATGTGCAGCTTTTTTCCCTGCTCTGTGCAGTGACATCAGAAAATACTGCTGTATTTATTTAAGAGTGTTGGTGGCTCCTGAGCATCTCCATGAGTCACTGCTGTACCAGCACGGGTGGGAAGGGAAGGGGACCAAGGAGTTGTTGTGCTTCTGGTCTGATGCAGCACGCTGCCTGCTTGTGGCTGGGCTTCTGGGGCCGGGCAGCTGCAGGTGGCTTCCAGAACGCAGTGCAGCAGGACCACATACATCCTGAGCACCGAGAGATCCTTCAGAGCTGTGCCTGCTACTGCACGTTCCAAGTGACAGAAATGGCTGCTGTGGAATACTCATATTCATTACAGATTCTCTTTCTTCCTAAATTATAATCGCATAGCCTAAATAAATGTATTGGCATGTTAGTGACACTGAGAAATCTCTTGTTGCAGAAGAGCCTCACCCAGAAGAGAGCACAGAAAACCAGCAGAATGGTGAAGAAGGAACATCTACCCCCGATGATAAGGAGAGTGGCCAAGAAGGGGTCGACAGCACTGCCGAGGAGGGAACCAGTGACAGCAACACTGGTTCCGAGAGCAACAGCGCGACCGTTGAAGAGCCTCCCGCAGACCCCATCGCTGACGACAGTGAGAAGAAAGAATAAACATTGACTCGTTCCGTGTGTCTCTGTAATGAAGTACTGTTTTGATTTCAAAATGTTCTAGGCGGCTGTCGTATCGTCCTTCCCTGTATCCCGTGTCTCCAAAGGACGCTGGGTTTTAATAACATGTCAGAATATCAGCAGAGCAACTTCAAGGGCCTGTTAGAGGCACAGGGTGTCTTGCAGAGGCAGAAAAGTAAACCTCATGTCTCCAAACAAGGCTGTACGACATGCAGAGGTGCCTACTATCGCTTGGGATTTCTTCCCTAGGAAGATAGCACTGGGTCTGGGTTTTGTGTTGGAAATCCCTTTCTTCTGGTTACGTGACCACGGTGAAAACGTGGCCCTTGTCGAAGCCCCCTGTTGGTCCGTGGTGGGGGTGAGGTGCCGGTGCACATCACCGCGCTGCCGCGGCCCCGGCGCTGCGGAGGGACTCGCTCTGCCCACGCGCCCGCTCCGCGGGACGCTGCGTTTGCAGCCGGGGGGGCTGAGGTGGCAGCACGGCTGAGAAATGCGGTTCCTGGCACCGAGGCACCCTCAGACCACCGTCAGCATTGAGCAGAGACGCGATCCCTGTGCTGGGTACAACCTGGAGCGTTTCCTTGATCCAACAAAACCAAACCCCCCGCGGCGCAGCGTGTGTGACCGGTGCTGCGCTGGTCTCTCCGAGTAAATCACGTATCTTGGGGTTTTCTCTGTGATGCGGGATTCTCTGCAACATTAGTCTCTGCTTTTCTTTCCCAATTCCCTCCTTTATTTGCCCCGGAGATATCCTGGTGTGGCCTCAGCCGGCGGGATGGCAAAGCACAAAGCATTCCGACACCTACTCGTGCTCTGAGCGGGCCGTCACTGACACAGCACAGTAAAAACCAGTGGGTGTGCTTGCCGTGAGCTTCCAGAACCGCTGGGAACTCGCCCAATGTCCTGAAAATGCCACATGTTGCCCTGGATAAGCAGAAGCCCTACTGAAGGGAAAAAACCCCATTTAATTGCAGCAGCAGATACGAGCCGTTTCATGACTTTGCGACTGTAAGAGAACACGTGATGCGTATGCTTCAATAAACCAGTATGTTTTTATGGAATAGTGGGTACATCGGATGGTGATGTTTTTAAATCCTTTTGGTCTTTTTTTTAAATAGTCTAAGAATAATAAAATCCAACATGTTTGGCTTTTTTAAACTTACAGTGGTCTGGTTCTTGTCTTTTAAGGTAATGCCTGTATTTGATTTGGGGCTTTCATCAGCTGTTTTCCATCTTAAGCCCAGGGAAGAATAAAAACATGGAATTCATTGCTGAAACTGCGCAGCTCCGGTGCGGCAAACGCTCGTCCTGGAACTGCCTTTATCTGTGCAGCAGCCTTGGTTTCGAAGGCCGTTTGCGTAGATGTAAATAACAGTTAATTATTGGCAAAAACAGGGTGTGTTGCAGCGCAGGGTGTGTACCTGGATGAGTAGGTGTCATCTGCAAGGGTAAAAGCGCTTCTCCAAGCACAGAAAAGCCCCAGAACGAATGCCCGGTGGGCAGCTCTGAGCACTGCCCGACCCCGCGGTGCCCGGTGGAGATGCCTGCAAGGGGCACGAGCAACGGGGACCAGGCGCAGGAGCGGGACCTCCTCAAGGAGGACCAGCCTCATGAGAACCTGGCTCCGTGGAGATGCTCCTGCAACATCCCAGTCTGCAGCTGGGACCAGGAGCCTGGAGCTGGCTCCACGCCTCCAGCTGACCCTCCACAACCACCTCCAGCAGTGAGCAGCTAATCAGAGCTCCTGATGAGCCCACACGCCCACCCCAAGGTCCTCAGCAGGACCTGAAACCCTCCCACGAGGAAGATGGAGCAGATAAAGCCCATCAGCTTGTTGTGCCTTTGCTGTTGGGCTCGCTGGGGGTGGGCACCTGCTTCCCTTGTGTTTGGGAGCTCCTGGAGCCCTGCGGCTCCTTCTCCCTCCCCCTGTGGTGAGTGTCCCCCGGATCCCCCCGGGGTGGGGGGTGGCTGTGGGTGCTGTGGGGCCCCCTGAGGGTGCCTGTGCTGCTGGAGACAGGCTGGGGTCTCCTCTGGGGGTGCTGAGCCATCTCCCACGGGGTGATGAGAGCTGCTGAGTCCTGCACACCCACCCACAGGGAGCTGATAAGGAAGAGAGGAGACAAATCCAAAACACGGCATCACAGCGAGGGAGTTGTTTTCTTTGGTTTGTTTTTCTCTTCAAGAAAAAAAATAGGCTTTTTTTGAGAGTCTGACTCATGCTTTGTGACCTCTGACATCACCACAGCTCTGCCATTTGCTTTGTTCTGCAGGTAAAATCAAGTAGGCAAAGGTTCTCTTCTGTATCGGGTAGTTCTCAAAAATATGCTTTTATCTCACCACAAAAATAGACTTGGTAAAAGTTATGATGAAGCCTGGTTTAAAAAATTACTCCTAAAGTTTTTTGGATATTATTTTTTTTTGCATTACTGTAATTATCAGATTTTATCACCCCCAAAAACCTTCTGGTCTACAAAACTGAACTATAATAACGGGTACACAGCATGGAGCAGGCCCCAAAGGATAAATAATGAGAGGTATTTCGGTGTTAACGTGTGAACTGGGCACCTGGTGAGACTGTTCAACAGCAATTCAACGGGCGGAGGGCTTCGCTCCCGCTGAAACCCCCAGCTCTCAGCCTCTTAGAGCTTTGTGCACCTCAACACCCTTCGAAAGCACGAACCAACACACGTGATGGGCGTTAGCTTCCCGTGAAAGACAAAAGTCTCATGGCTGTGCAGCAGTTAAACTTTTAAAAAAAAAAAAAAAAATCTTCTGGAGAAATTAAACAAGGGTTTAAACAAAAAAAAATCACCTGAGCATCACACGGGGTAGTCTTGCAAAGCTCATCGGCTTCCAGCAAAATGAGGACTCGAACGCAGTGCTTACCCAGGGGATTATCCCTATGGAAGGAAGGAATAAAACAGATGAGTAGAGCTTTAGAGGGATAAAATATCAAAGCCCAGATGGGATAAAATATCAAATCCCAGATAAAATAAAATACCAAAGCCCCCAGGCACAGAGGGGGCCGGGGCAGTGGAGATACGAGCTGCCGGGCAAAGCATCACACTGCTCCGACGCACAGCACCAGCGGAAGGGCCCCGTTTCCCCATTAATCCCAGGTGGGAAGGGGGGGCTGGAGCAGCTCTGGAGCTCTGTGAGGGGACGTTCACCCAGAGACACGCACTGGTGTGGCAGTAAGGTGGGAGTGAGGCAGCTTCTGAGAGGGGGGACGTGCTGCCGGTTACACCGACGCCTTCACGTCAGTGGCACATCCCCTGCTCGCGGCTGAGCGGCGGTTACAGGTTTCTACCTTCGCATAGATTATGGCAAATATAAATTAAAAGCATTAAAAAGAGCTTGGAATCTCTCTTCTTCCAACTTTCTAACAAGGCAGAGCTGCAGTGAGAAATGCTTCATCTGACGAAGGGGTCCCCTGGAAGAATCCTGTGCAGAGGCACCGAGAAAGGCTCTTTCCAGATGGATACCTTGGGATGGGGAGAAGCCCTTCACTGGAGCGTGGGCGAAGCTTTAGGTGGTGTCTGCCCCGGGGAACGCTCAGGCTTCCAGCACTGCCTTCAGAAACGCTGGATGGTGGTTGGAGTCTCTCGGTGTCCCGTACCAGAACATGGAACCACTCTGAAGCCGCGTCCCTGCACAAATGGCAGAAATTCAAATATTAGCCCTAGATTTGATTTTTCAATTTCTCTTGGATAAACGTGACCGCAGAGAAGAGGGCGGACCCAGTTCTGCACCAGCGAAAGGTCTGTACGGGCTGATGGCAGGAAAAGCTCCGTTAGGAATCTCCCGGCCCGGCACGAGCTCTCTGCCGCCTGGACACGGAAAGAAGCCACGTCTGGCTCTGCACCTGGGACTTGTTTTCCCAGGGAAACCCATGGAATCTCCACTTTGCTCCTGGATAACTCGACCGACCCTGCTCAGCAATGCTGCCACAGCCATTCCGTCAGTCGATAAAGGTCATTAACAGTTACACTAATTTAACTGTCAGTGTGAATTAAGCGAAATTGAATTAAGATCACGTTAATTCTGAACAGGATTGTCTCTGTGTGGGCTTAATGCACTTCAACTCACCCACTTTAGTCTGTGCATGTAACTTTATCAGTACATCCTTGCACACTTGAGGAAAAAAAAATCAATCTGGAATGCAAAGTGTGTTAGTAACAATTTCTGGGATTTTTGAGTGCAAGGGTTAAATAACTTTCACTTACTGTCAATGTTTTGTACCACAAACTGTCTCCTCTGCTTAATCCAGCACCTGGAGCCCTGGATTTGAAGTCTCCCCTACGTAGGCAGAGTTACTGACAGCCATCCGTGCAAATCTCTTCCCAGTGGGATCTGGACTGACCAGCAGTGCTTGAAAGCAGGGATCCTGCTCCGGTCTGGGGCTGTGCCTCGCTGTTTTTGTTCTCAGTTCCCTTCTTTCGCTTTGACACATTTTTTCACAGTCTTCAAGGGGTTTTTTGAAGTGGTTTTGCAGTTATCGGGCTGATGTCTTATTTTGTTGTAAATTATCACGTACAGCTTCACTTGCGAGTTATAAAAGTCTGTAATTTCTGTAAACAGGTAGTTTCAATTTGCTTTTTTTCCACTCGATTCTATTAAAAAGGAAAAAAAAAAAAAGGCACTTTAATCCTGGCACCAACTCCAGAGTGTCAAAAAAAAAAAGCCAAACCAGGAGGAGTGACAGTAAAAACAGAAACCAAGTGAAAAATCACAATATGATTTTTTTTCATTATTATTTGTTAAGCCCAGGGATGAAGTATGTCAGCTCTGCGATGGAGAAGACTGGATGAGCTCTTCCTGGAGAACCCACTGATGGGATGATTCTCTGTTTCTCTCTCCAGTCTTGTTTCGAAGACCGCAGGGGACTGGTGTCCCATCTCACACCAGTAACACGGTACCACAGGCTTGCAGGAAGGACGTTTGCCGCACGGCCCGCGGGCACTTCAGCCCTCGAGCCTTTT